GGGGGTGAGCAGCAGTGACTAAAAGTCATTCGTGTAAGGGAGTGCTAGGCCTTTCCTCCACTCCACGGAAGATGCCAGGAAAAGGCGGACTTCCTCCCTCGCGGCCCCTCAGCCTCCAGGAGAGATCCAACCGCCTTCCATCTTCTGTCTGCACCCTGAGCTGCTCCCAAGCCACAGTGGGGCAGGCAGCTCCATCTCCAGCTCAGCCTGGCCCGTGCGAGGGAGTGGGTGGCAGTGAGTTGGTTTATTGTCCGCCGCCCCCCACAGCTACGCGAACCCCTTTAACAGAGTTCCGTTGTGTACCTGGCTAATCATCCTGATGGGTTGGGGGGGTCTGCGGGCCACCTCCTCAGTGCCTCCCACCCTGATCTCAACCGTCCAAGGCCCTCGGGTTTATCCCCACCCAAAACAGTGCCCACAGGTAGGTCTCCACCTGGACTTCACAGGTTCTCTCTCTAGCTGTGAACAGCGCAAGCTGGCTGGTTGAAGAGCGAGCTGCTAAGCAGTGGGGCAGGTGAGATTCGCGCTTCGCAGGTGGGATTTCCCAGCCGGGAGTCTCCCCAGGAGGCGGTGGGGAGGAAGCTGGTGGCCCTTGCACTAGGGGGTCAAGGACTAGGGCCCCCTGCTGTGGGGTCCTCCTGAACGGAATCGGGTTTGGAAAGGGGTCTTAGTGGGGCTTACTGTTCCACCCTCCACCCGACGGGGCCACTGCTACAGTCTGCGTGATGCGTCTGGGCTCATTGCCTCAGGTCAAACAACAGGTGGCTGAACCTGGGAGAAATACGGGGCCGTGGGCTGTGGGCTAAGCTCCCGCCGCCGGCTCACCACGTTGGTTGCCCTGCCCGACCTTTGAGTGTCCCACGAGTCCCTGCTGGCGGCTGGTCGGTCAGATGGGAAAGGCGCACGCAGGACCTGGCTGCGCATGCGCAAGGGCGGGATCCGCACGCTCTCTGGGCTCTGGGCTCCAGACGGACTCGGCTGCTGACTGCCCAGAGGCCTGCCTTGGACCCAAGCCTGCAGAGCCTTCCAGAATGAAGAGCCCCACTCCCCAAGAAGCGCAGAGGAGTTATGATCATTGTGACGCCCTGCGTGCGCCGGCAGCAAGGCCTGAACACTGGAACCGGGAGGAGTCCGGCCTCCCTCCCAGGGTCACTCCCAGCTCGCAGCCGGCCCTCCCCCACCCCAGATGTGCACCCTACCCCCTCCCGCAGCCGTCCCACTCTCACGGGATGCTTTTAAACGTTTCTTTATTTAGACAGAAAGACCAACTCTTTAAAAGTAAAATGCAATAAATAAATAAGTTAAGCATAGAGAACTGTCTGAAACTGACTCCCCAGTCACCCCACCCCACCCCATCCCGTTTTCTTTCCCCTAAAACCTCTTCCTAAAGAAAATGATCAGGTAATAAACCCCTTCCGCCCGCCCCTCAGCCCTCCTCCCAAATACTCAGTTACCCCCCCCCCCAAATCAAAGGGCGAACTCAAGAGAGAAAAATCCCAAGGGAAACATTGTCTAAACTCCCTGAAGGAGAGCTGGCAGCGTCCGCAGGCAGCGGGAATAGGTAACGCACGGGCGGTGGTGGTATTTACAGGGAGGGACCAGCAGAGACTGTAAACATTTTTAGGGGGGCTAGGGGAGGGTTTTCCTCATGAAAGGAGGCGGGTCTCTGGCTGACAGGAGAGGCAACCCTCAGGGGCCCCCCACACCCTCCTCAGAGGGGCCTTTTGGGGGAGGCAGTGAGTTTTAGGGCTGGGAGCTCAGGTCTTGGGATACCCCCCCCACCCCTAGCTGGGGAGGGTAAGACCAGATTCTGAGAAACCCCTGGTGGGAGGGGCTGGGGCACCATCTGGTGGGGAGTGTGTGGGAGGCCCCAGCTGTGCCCCCAGGCAGAACAGAACAGGGGGGGTAGGCGGGCACAGGACCCCCAACAGAAGGCAGGTACCCCCCAACCCCTCCGAGCTTGCCTGCCTGCTCCTTGCTCCCTGACAGGCCAAAAGGGCACCTGGGAGGAAAGGGCCCTGGCCCTTCGTGAGAGGCAGGGTGGTAGGAGTGGACGGTGGCCTGTGCCCATAGAGCCTACTCAAGGCCCAGGGCAGATGTGCAGAAGGGCCTCCGGGGCCAGCTGAGGGAAGAGGGGTGACGTGCCCCTTCCTCTTTATCTCCAGACCTGTGAAGGAAGGAAACCGGGTGAAACCGTGGGGCCCGCGGTGTGGGCGCAGGTGCCGGTCAGAGGAAGAGGTGGCCGGCCAGGGCAGGTGCTGGGGTTGCTCATTAGAAAGGCCTCCGTCCACCCTGCGCCCCAGCCCCCTCAGCCAGTAGCAAGGGCCAGAGATTGGCAGGGGGCAGGGGTGGGGAGTGCAAAAGAGACAAGAAACCAGACGCTATTAGGAAGGAAATAAACAGCCCATGGGCAAATAAATACAGACTGTGGGGATCAAGATGGGCCTAGAGGGGAGAGAAGCAAAGACACAAGACAAGGACCGGGCAGGCAGAGGGCACTAGGAAGGAGAGGAGGGTGGTGTGAGGTGGACGGACACCTGGACAGGAGAAAGGGGTGGGGGCCGGCTCAGGCTCAGCCCCAGCCCCGGGCCCAGTTGCTTTCCATGTTTTCGGAAAGGAACGGAGAAAGCAGGAGAGAAATGCACGGAACACAGACCACAATTACCAACCACTGTTGACCAAGCACGTCCCGCCAGCTCGCCCCCCCCTCGGCCCTGAACTTGGGCTTGGGGGGGGCGCATCCCCCCTCGGCCCCCTCCCCAAGTAACAAACAATCGGCTCCAAAGACAACACGCTCGTTCCATGCAACTTACAGGGGCCCGGAGCAGGGGTCCGGGGATGGGGGCTTCGGCCGACAATGGACACGGGCCCTGGGCTGGGGGGGGCCCCCAGGGTGGCGGGGAGTTAAGCAGCCAGGATTGGAGGGAGAGGGGGAGAAACAGAAAATGTGGGTATTGTTCTTGGGTTGTGTTTCTCTGGGGGGGCTGGTATCCAAAGGCAACTCAACAGTACGAAAACAAGCAGGGCTCATTTCCATGAGCCCCGTGCGGGTGGGGTGGGAGGAGACCTGACAAGTGAGGTTCTGGGCATCTAACATCACAGCCTCCACCATGAAACCAGAGCCACTCCCAGGAGGCGTGGCCTTGGAACCCCCTTGGCTGCTCTGTGCACGCCCTGCCGTCCCACAAGTCCACCTCTATGTGAGGACAGTCAACCAAAGTCCAGAGCAAAGAGGCCACATCCAGGAGCCAGTGATTCTAAGGTCCCTGCAGTCCCCTGAGCCTCTCTCCTCCCCACTCAGTCCCCAGATCCTCCTCCTCTAACTTCACTCCAACCCAAAACAAAACCAGAGAGAGACACACACAGACACCGGGACACTGACCAGACACAAGATCAGATACTGAGGGTGACTGGGGAGCAGACATTGATATGTATAGATTTGGCTTCTTCTGGGGCTAGAGTGGGTGGGTGGATGAGAGGGAGAGAGAAACACTGATTGAAAGCCAGCAGAGGGAGCGACCCCAGGCCCTGGCCTCAGGTGCCAGAGTCGGGTGGGGTTGGATGTCCCTGAGCATGGTGAGTCTGGCATGGGGACAGTCCAAGCAAGGGCCCTGGCTGTGAGGTGGGGGGGGGGGGAGGTAGTTCTGGAGCGGGCACAGGGCGAGAGCAGGACCCACCTGGAGGCCCTCAGTAGGGCCGGTTAGCATCCTTGGGCCGCTTAAGTTGGACTTTGAGGCGTTTCATGCCGATCTGGAAGCCGTTCATGGCCTGGATGGCGGCCTGGGCACTGGCTGGATTGTCGAAACTCACAAAGCCTGAGGGGAGAGAGGCATAAGGCCCAGGACTGGAGCCCACTCTTCAGCTCCTCTGCACCGCCCCCAAAAGTGCCTTTCAAAGACGTGAAGGCAAGTACCCTGCCCTCCACCTGCCTCTTTAAAGTCAAGACCCTGAGCTTGTCTCCGGACCTCATGGCTGATGTGGGCCATCTCAATTTGACCAGGCCTTGGGGAGAAAAGGTGGCACTGTGGTTTCTGAAGAGGGGAGACAGGCTGGGGCAGCAACAGATGGGGAGCTACTGAGTGTGTCCAGTGGTTCTTCCCCATTCCTGGAAATCTGGGGTTCAACGACTGGGCTCATGGCAACCATAAAGTGTCTTCAGATCTGTCAGTTGTCGTCAGGGGCCACTAGGTCGGTTCCAATCCATTGCAGTGACCGGGTGCCCAACAAGACAAAGTACTGCCTGGTCCTGCGCCGTCCCTACACAACTGCTCTTAGACTGCTGCAGCCACTGTGCCAATGCATCTCGTTCAGGGCCTTCCTCTTTTGTGTTGCCTCTCTACTGCACCAAGCACGATGTCCTTCTCCCAGCTATATCAGAGCCCATGTGAATTCAGAGTTTGGCAATTAAAAAAAAGCCCATAGTTTGTCTTTTGGATCATCATTCTTACCAAAACACTTGCTCTGATTGGTGGCCCGGTCCACAAAGACTTTGGCTGAGATGACGTGGCCAAAGGGGACAAACATCTGGAGGATCTCAGAGTCAGTGAACTCCTGGGGCAGGTGGTAGATAAAGATGTTGCAGCCATCAGGGCCTGGGTGGGGGGCAGTGGAGATGGGGGAAGTGGTCATGGGGAGAAACAAGCTCAGAGAACCAGAGTCCCAGGAGATGCAGCTCTCTGGCCCAGGCCCCACCCCCACCCCACCCCCCAATGTGGACCAGGGCTCCAGCCACCTCATCACAAACGTGTGGCAAGTGTTGGCTTGGAGCAGGGTGGTAGGGAGCCCCCAGGAAGGGCACTCCTACAGTGAAGGGCTCCCAGCTGTGAGACCACGGTCCCAGGCGGCACCTTCTCTCTGCTGCTGCTGCTGTTGCTGCTGCTGCTGTTGCTGCTGCGGGGGCGGCGGGGGCTGCTGGGCGACCAGGGTGGGAGGCTGCGGGAACGCAGGCGCAACCAGGCTGTAGGCTGCAGGGTAGGCTGCTGGGAGGGGCAGGGGGTGGTGGAGAACAGGGAGAGCCGATGGGGCTTCTGGATTCCCCCGGCTCCATGGGCCCCTAGCACACCAGGCCCCCTTCCTGTAGCCTGGGCCAGTGAGGTCACAGGGCCAAGGCTGACATCGGTGGTCCATCCTCCCCAGTGCAGCCATAAGTCATGCCTGACGGTGATGGGTGGGATGAGACCAAGAAGGCCAGTGTGTTTCTGGCCTCTCCTCCTCCCGACATCCCTCTCGGCCCACCACTTCATCTATGGGGTGGGGGTGGGGGGGTGGGCCTCACCTGTATAGTGCTGCATCCCGGCATAGGCCTGCTGCAGGGGGTCCACGGGGGCCGCGGGGCTCTGGGCTAGGGGCATGGGGAGAGTTAAGATATAGACGGTGAGGCAGGGCCAGAAGGTAGCTAGCTAGGTGGAGAGGAGAGCCATCGAGTGGCTTCCGACTTATAGTGACCCTGTAGAGTGTGTGATGCACGGGAAAATACGTGGGGTGGGAGGAGCCCCACTTTTGGAGAGAGTCCCAGTTTTACTTCGGACTGGCAAGTCACTTCACTCCCTAAGCCTCGGTTTTCCTGGCTGAACGCAGGCAGGAGCACCCTGCCCACAACAGGAGGCAGAGAAAGCGCTTTATAAGCCTAGAACCCTGGAGCAGCAAGTGGCCAGGCAGTGGGAATGGTGGCCCCGGTGGTGGCTGGGGGCAGGGGGTGGGGGCCGCAGAGAACCCCACCTGGATAAGGGTGCACCCCGTTGGGGTACAGAGCATCAGGGGCAGGCTGCCCAGTGGCCTGGGTGGGCACCGGGCTGTAGCCGTTGACACCCAGAGCAGCAGGGATGGCAGAGACGGGTGTGGCAGCGATGGCAGGAGGGGTGCTGGTTCCTGGGGAGGAGAGAGCGACAGAGAGCAAAGAAGCACACGCATGCACGCACACGTGTACACGCGTGCACACGCACACGAGAGGCGGAGAGAATGCTCGGCAAGGCTGAAGGCAGAGGGGAAGAAACGGGCATTTTGACCCCAGGTCCTGCTGCCTGTACCTCACAGCTCCCCAAGCCCTAGCTCTGTTGCCCCTCACAGGCCTCACCTGAGGACGGGGTGATGGGGGTGGCGATGAGGCCGTTGGCATTGATGGCGGCCATGTGCTGCATCTGCACGGCAGCCATGGTGGCCATGGGGCTGAGGTAGGCACTGTGAGCCGCTACCAGGGCCGCCTGCTGCTGCATCAACTGGGGAGGGCAGCGGGGAGAGAGAAGGATGGGCCCGGGTCCCCTGGTTCTCAGCCTGGCCCCCTCCCATCCCTGAGCCCAGGGCAGCCCAGCACCAGGGGGGTGGGGGGTGTGTGTGCAGTGCTCACGGCCTGGGTGTAGGCGCTGTAGGCTCCAAACTGGAGGGCAATGGGGCTGAACATCCCCAGCTGGGTGGCCACCTGCTGCATTCGGCGGAGACCTCGCTCCTTTTCCGTGTCAGCAAACTTCACCACCAGGCTGGACGAGGCACCCTGGGCACAGACACACACACGGCAGAGGGACAGAGTCACCCAGTGGTCTCCGTGCCCCCACCCTTGGAGTCAGATGAGAGGTTTCACCATCTCCTTGTGAGCCAGGATGAGGAAGAGGCTGGAGAAGTTAGGGAATGTAAAGTAAAAGAAACTAAAAAACCCAAAAGGGTTGCCTTCGAGTGGGCTACAACTCGAGGCGAGCCTGTGTGTCAGAGTAGAACTGGAATCCTCCAGGCTTCTAAAGACTGATTTTAACCAATGTCGATCCACCAGGCCTTTCTTCCGAGGCACCCCGTGTGGACTTGAAACCCCAACCGTTTGTAAGCATACGGCCCACACCACCTAGCGGCCCCCTGAAAAATGTGAGGCCCGCGGGACTGAAGGGGCCTCAGGGGGCATCCTACACAGAGTTGGAGACCACCCTAGAGTGAACCGGCAAACTCACCTCCTGCCTGCTGCTGGCCTGTGTCCTGCCCCATGTGTTCCCACACCCAGCCCCTGTTGTTAGGTGCTCTGAGAAACCCAGCTCGCTTAAATCCTAGCCAGCACCAAATAAAAGCCCACACGGAACATTTGCAAGGATTATCCAGAAGGGCCCTAAGGCCGGCTAATAGAGGCTTTGACTGAAGCTGACTTCTGCTGGGGGCTGGCCCAGCCCCTGCTGGAGAACCCAGCGCGCTCGGCCAAGTTAGGGAACTTTTGCTAGAGGGTGTGAGCCTCTAGGCAAGAGTCTGAAAATCAGGTCGCCCCAATCATGGCAGGTGAGGCCTGGGAGAGGAAATTCAGACCTGAGATGAGAATGGGGGTATGTGGGACGATGGGAAGCAAGGAGGTGGTGTTTCATCTATGAGGAGGCCCCTGTTTGATTTTTCATTCAGGAAATTCCTTTGAAATAAATTCCAGGAGGCTCTAGCTAAGAAACCCTGGCGGCACTGTGGTTCAGCAGTTGAACTGCTAACCACAAGGTCAGCGAAGAGGCTGTCTGCTCCTGCAAAGCCTTACAGTTTTGGAAACCCTAGATGGGATTTTTTAAAATTCTGAGTGGAATGCTCCCTCTGCTGGGCGGGGCCGGAGCGGCCGGGGGCGGGGCCTCACCGGCAGGGTCCGGCTACTGTGCAGGGTGTTGATGGCCGCCTGGGCCTCAGCATGGGTCTGGAACTTCACGAAGGCGCAGCCTAGAGAGGTCAGGGTGAAAGGGGGTGTGAGTATCCCACCTCCCAGAGAGCCGATTGCCCCGGAAGCAGGAAGGCCGAAAGGCCTGTGGGGGAGAAGTGGGACTAGCATCGTACCTTTGCTGGTGCCATCTGGGCCCCGGAGCACAGTGCACTCGTCTATGGTCCCGAAAGGCTCAAACATCTTCCGCACGTCCTCATCTGTCTGCTGCTTCCCTAGCATCCCCACAAAGAGCTTCCGGTCTTCTGGGGGGTTGGGGCACAGGCGAAGAGGCCTGATTAGGGCCTCCTGGACAGACCTGAACTGGGGTTCCTCCCTTTCAGTTCTCCCCTGGACTCTCAGACGCTCTCTCATCCTGGGGACTCTGGGTGAGCAAAAGGGGAGTGCTCATGCCAGCGCAGGCAGCCTTGCCTTGGCCCTGGGTCTCAGTTTTGCCATCTCAACAGTGGGCGAGCTCACACCTCTGGCCCTGCCCAGTTCTATCCCCAACCTTCAGAAGACTCGGGCAGTGTGTCTGGAGACAGCCTCGGAGGGCTCAGGAGAGGAACAGCGTCCCTCAGAGGTATGGAGCCTACCTCCTCGGCTCTCGCTGTCGGCTGGCTTGACCTGGATGGGTCTGTTCATCTACAGAAAAGAGAAGAAGGCCGTATTTGGGGACTGCCCAGGCCAGGACAAACCCCGGGCCCAAGTGGTCCCCCAGCTCTCTGCCTCTGGGAAGGAGGGAAAGGAGAGGAAGCCCGGAGGGACGCTCACTCACGGGCACAGCCCCAGGCCCAGGCTGGGCCCCAGGTGACCTGGCAAGAGAGGGAGAGGGACAGCCCTCTGCTCTCCTGACTTACGGGACAATGGGAGGGACCATGAGACCTGGGTTCCGAGGCAGAACCCAACCAATGACTGCTCAACAAGGACTGCCTCAAAGTCAGAGTCAGGAAACAGAGGCTACCCCCATGAAGGTGTCCCCGGCACCCTGGATGCCCTGGCTCCCTCCTGAGCCCTAAAGGTATGTCTGCCTCCCTTTCTACCCCCCAACACCCCTTGACCCCAGGGGGAAGGCATTCGGGCAGCACAAAGGGAGCAGATGCCCAGTCTCCGTGGCAACGGGAGAATGCGCGCCATGGCAACCGCCCACTCAGCCTGATTTATCCGTCCCCGTCGTCCTGGCGACCGTGGTGACGTCATCACTTCTGCCTTTCCACACGCAGGGTAGGAGTGCGGGGCGGGGTGGGAACAGGGTATGCTGATAGAGGCCTTGGTGGAGGCTGGGAGGTGGGGGAGGGGCCCGGAAAAGCTTCCTGATCCTGGAGGGAGGCCTGCAGGGGCCATGTGTCCTTCCCTGGGTACTTCTCTGGGGCAGAGGAGCTCTGGAGGAGAAGCTGTCCTGTGCCCCTTAGCGATTCTCCCGGTTCCTGCGAGGGGCCCCCAGAGCACTAACCTGCCCCCCCTCCCCCGCATCTCACAGTGTCTCCCTTTGTTTCCAGAAATTCTCAGCCCCACCCAACGCAATCTCCTTCAGGGAGAGGACTTGAAATTACTCCTGACAGTTGATTTCCTTAATCAGGGCGCGGAGCAGCTCAGGAACAGGGGGTGGGGGTGGGGGGGACCTGGCCTTCTGCTGCTTGAAAAGATCTTGTTATTGAGAACGCTGACCGCTAGGGCCACACCTGGCCAACCCACTCATCTGATGTAGGGGGAGGCAGGTACCCCTATTTCTAGCAGTCTAAAATAACCCCCTCATCTCCCCTCTGAGGGTGGGGCCCAAGAAGCTCTGGAAAGGCAGTGCTTTGGGAGTCTGGGAGCTGAGGTTAAGGGCAGCCCTGCCACTCGCTAGCTGGGCGACCTCCGGGAAGTCACTTCCCTCTGGCCACAGTGCTGAGTCTGTCAAACAAGGGGTGGGAGAGGTGGCTTCTCTGCAGCTCCCCTTGGCATCTCCTGGGTCACCATTACTTACCAGGGAGAAGTGCCCGGTGCCTGTCGCCCCTGCCCCACCCCACACTGGCCCCTTCCCTGTGACTCAGCTCCTAAGACTATCGCTGTGGTTCTCAACCTTCCTAATGCGGAGACCCTTTCATACAGTTCATGGGGTGGTGACCCCAACCATAACATTATTTTCGTTGCTACTTCATCACTGTTAAGTTTGCTACTTTGTGAATTGGGCAACCCCTAAGAAAGGGTTGTTCGACCCCCAAAGGGGTGGAGACCCACAGGTTGAGAACCACTGCTGCACTATCAGCTCACCCCCTCACAGCCCGACCTCTGCTGACCCTCCTGCCTGGGACCCAGCCCCTAAGTCTCTAGATTTGAGAGCAGCTGGTGGGGGGTGGAGGAGCAGTCCCCCAGCCAGTCTGCTCCCAGCTTTATCTTCCACCAATCTGGGATGATCCCATCTCAGGCTCAATGTCTGTAGGTGCTCGGCCAGTCTGGGTGCTCCCACTGCACGGAGTGAGGGGTCCAGAGCAAGGCAAGGGTGGGGTCAGATGGTCAGGGGCTCCAGCTCCAGCGCATTCCCTTCTCCCATGTCCTAGCCAGAGCTGCCAGGAGATTCCCACGGAGGTGGGATCAGAACCAGGTGGTGTGTGTGTGTCGGGGGTGGGGGTGGTCCTGGGAGGTGGTTCTTCAGCTTGGCACTAAGCCCTGTGGATTACTGATCTAGTTGGCGATGGGAAGCCTGGGGCCCAGGGAGCTAGGACACCAGCCTCTCCCTGCACAGGCGTCCGGATACAAAACAATGTATCAATAAAAGCCCCTGGCTGCTATGAATTCGAACATGTGCTCAGCGTGCAGGCCCCCCTCCCCCCACCACAGACAGCCTGTCTCCGTCTCGGTGCTCCCTGCTCCCCTTCCCAGCCTCCCTCCTCTCAGCTGGCTGGTACTTCCTGTGGGAAACTCAGTCTCTATTAGCTCAGCTTGGGCACACCTGCCCCATCCCCTGAGGCCAGCTGTGCCCTGTTTACCTGGCAACCCAGCTCTGCGTGCCTCTCTTCCCTAGCTACCACCCACCGGGTGATAAGCTCTCCCTAGGGCCTCCCAAAGAAGAAGGGGCTATTTATACCCCAAGCAAGCATCACTGAGATTCCCCCCACCTGCACTGACTCGTCCCTGTCACCAACGGCAAAGACCCCACTTCCAAGAACTCATCAGTCCCACAAAATCGACCTCTCCCGAGGGTCTGGCAACCTGCCCTTCTAGCTCCAGGCCTATGCCTAGTGCCCTGGGCCAAGATGTGCCCTTTCCATGGGGTAAAAACCTACCTGCCCACAGCTAAATGTCATGTCCCCAGAGTGGAGGGGTAATGCTGGCCAGGTAGAGGGGCTCCCTCATTGCTGTGGCCTCCAGGAGGCCACACCTGTTTGCAGGAGGAGCCCAGGGGCCAGTGGGAGAGTCCCCCACCCTGAAACTCTTGGGGGAGAGAAAGGAACTGGAGCTTAGCAGCCACAGGCCCAGCCCCCACCTCCCCATTCTTTCTTCCTGCAATGCACAGCGCCACCCCTCACGGTGGCACCTTCTGGATGCTGGGGTGACAAATGGGGAGGAAGAAAAGAGGGCTAAAGGCCAATGCCCTCATTAATAAATGACTCGCAGTAAGAGGGCATGGAGATTAGACAGTAGGAAGAACTTCCTAACACACTTGTACGTGAGCCAGCGTGCTGTGAATGCATGCGCGCGCACACAGACTGAGGGCAAACAATACTGCCAGGAAGGAAGGAAGGTGACCACAGAAAAGACTTGGGAATGCAAAGGGCCCGTGGGGCTCAGCCACCAACATCTGTTCCCTTAGACCGCCCAGCTCTGCTCCCCCAGCATGGGGGGCTTCTCTCCTTGGAAGATGGGACCCTTCACTTCCTCCTGGAAGTCCTTTCAGTTCCCTCTGGACTGTGTTCCCACGGGTCACCTGCGAGCAATAGGATAGGGCTAGACAATCATTAAACTGGCCCCCTTTTCCCTCAGCCCACCCTCCTCACACCTCCTCACCTACCACAGCACCCTGCCTGAGCGGAGTCTGACAGCTGGAGGGAGAGGACAGGCCCAGGGGAGGGCTCGGGTGCTCCCTCTTTCACACCTATTCCCCCTTTCCCCTCTAGGCCTTCCCTGCCAAGGGGGGCAGAAAAGGGGAACATGATGATGCTCACACTGGACATACCCATACATGTACACACATACGCACACAGGCCCTTCACTCTGTAGGGCAATGGCAACTCTGGTAGTCTGGCCAGGGCCCGGGGAAAGCCAGCAAGGGGGTACCAGGGGCTAGCATTGGGTCTGTTCTCCTAGCAGTTGGGGTGGTTGAAGGGGTTCTCATTTTCTAGGCCTTCCCTATGCTCCCTCCCCGTGTGTTCTGTCTGTTCCCCTCCAAGGGTCGCCCCCCATCCCTCCCACACAGGCCCTAGGCTGTGACAGCCGTGTCCCCAGCACCGAGGACAGCACTCTGGGCAAATGTTGACTGAAGGGGTGGAAGCAGTTAGGCCCAGGAGGCATTCCCTGGGCCCTGGCCTGGCCTCAGAGGCTAGAGAAGCAGAGCAGGGGAGAGCAGGCGTCCTTCTCTCCCGTCTGGCCAGCAGCAATCCTGCCCGGGTGCCAGCCCGGGCCGGGGCAGTCTGCAAAGTGGGCTGAGGAGGAGCTGTGGCCTTGCAGGAGGGGAGCTGCCCTGGGAGGCTGCCCCTGCCTCACCGGCGGTGGGACAGGGCTGGTCTCCACCATCACCTCTGCCCTGTCTTTGCCAGCTTCACCCAGAGGCCCTGTGGCTCTGCTCCCTCTGCTCCTCCTGGGAGCCAAGGGGTGAGCCTGTTTGAACTCAAAATCCAGCACAGAGATGCCAACCCACAGACACCAGCTGCTTATTCTCAGGATGACAGGCTCCCCTCCCCCCAGCTCACAGCCCACTTCCTCGCCAGAGCCACATTGGGGGAGTGGGGGGCTCCGCTTGCCCAGGTTTGCTCTCCAGGGCCAAGTCTCCTCTCCATGCCTCCCAGGCCCTCAAAGGGTTCCCTTTAAGTGCTGCCCCACCCGATGGGCATGCTGGGAAGTGGGGAGGGGCCCCCTCTGCTTCTTGCAAAGGTCATGGCTTCCTGGGGCTAACAGAGGTTTGCCTGCTCTCCAGGAGGGAAGAAATGCCTGAGTCTACAAGAGGGACAGAAGCTAGGAGGAGGGAGGGACTTCCTGTGAGAAGAGGTGGCCAGCCCTCTGATCCCTCAGGCCCTGAGCACACACCCCCACTCCCACCGTGAGCCCCTGGCCTGCAAAGGTGGCACTCACCCCTGGCAGCGTCTTCTGTTCGTGCAGGGCGCTCTGGGCCTTCAGGGCTGAATCGCGGGCACAATAGGTCAGGAAGGCACATCCTGAGCAGGGGCAGGGCAGAGAGACAGGGTGGGGGGTGACTCGCTGACCTCCCCACTCCTGAAAGTCTCCCCAGACGAGGAGGTGGGGGACTGGGAAGCTTTTCTCTCAGGTCACTTCATGTCTACTGGGGTGGGGAGCTGGGGGAGAGGAGGAGGCATCACACCCCAGGGAGTCTTGGGTGGGTGGGCAGGGCCCGGATGATGAGGGAGGAGAGAGCAGGGGAGCTGGGCTCCGTGTGGGGGAGGAGACAGGCATGTGATCACCAGGCAAGTGTGGGACTCCCTTTTCTCTCTCTCCCTTACACGGAGGTGGGGCTCCTCTCCCCTCTGCTTCCCTCCATTTTGGTCACTAGCTCCCTCCTCCCATTTTCCCTTCTTCCTCATCTCCCCTCAACTGGGCAGGAGGAAGGTGGAAGGTGGAGAATACAGGAGCCATTAGCCGGAAGTACCTTCTCCCTGGACCCCTTGGAACTGGAATGGGAAGGTAGACTGGAACTTCATCCCCAGTGCTGGACCAGCCCGGGGTGGGGGATTGGCTGCTAAGCCCACCTTGCTCTTGGCTGGGCCTGGGAAGCATTCTTCCTTTGCCCCAGACCACTCAGCTGCCGGTCTTCCACAGTCTGCAGCTTTGCCCTTACACTGTGTCCTGCACCTCAGGGCCCTCTCCTCAGCCTGGAGCAGCCCTGCCCCGGTCATCTCCATTCTCTGTCTCTGGAAGGAGCGCCTGGCCTGGCTTGACACCCCACCCTCCCACCCCCATCCTGAGACTGCCTGAAGCTACAGCCACTGAGATGTTCAATCTGGCTCAACAGGGGCACACTGTCCCTTCTGTCCTGAGTCCACCCCACGACCATCTCTGGGAGTGGAACCCACACCTCTACAGCTTTCTTGACAACTCTTGACCCCCAAGAGGCCCTCGTTAGTGCTCCAGCCAGGAGCCTGGCTGGTCACCCCAGCTCCTCCGCCCATACTCCCTGGCGGCCCCGAACTCTTCCTTCTTCTGGGTCATCAGTCCTTGGCAGGTCAGCTCTTCCTCCCCTTGCCTCCCTGCCCATCCCCTGAAGCCTCACCCTTGTGCAGCCCGGTGTACTTGTCCTTGATGACAGTCAGCTCGAAGATCCGGCCAAACTGTTCGAAGATGGGCTTCAGATCCTTTTCCTCCAGATGCCTCGGGATCTGCCCCACAAATAGCTTGATGGCATCCGGCTCCTTCATTGGCGCGGCCCAGGAGGAGGGGCCAAGGGGAGCAGGGAGAAGCCCCGAGGCCAAGGGGGGGTGGGCTGCCCAGCAAGGAGGCAAGTGGTGGGAGCTCCGGAGAGGGGCACAACCGGGGCTGGCGTTTCCGTTGGCCCCCCACCACACCGTTGAGTAGAGAGGTGGCTCTTCACACAAAGGAGGCAAGGGGTTTGAGGGCTAGGGGTCAGGGGGCTAGGCAGACCCTGTCATGCCACCAGGGGGCATAGCCCAAACAAGCGGCCTTCCTCCCAGGGATCTGGCCAGTATCCCAGGCTGGGAGTCAGTGGGGGCCAAGGCCTGGAGGGTCAGGTTGGGAGCGAGGGTTGGGGGTCAGGGGGAGGGGGTGGAGGACTGGGATGAGAGCTGGAGGTGAGGCGGGGAGGGCCAGAGGAGGCGAGGGGGATGGAGGCAGAGGGGCTAGGGGCCTGGTGGAGTTGCCAGCAGCGTCATGAGGGGCCCACTCCTGAGGTGGGGCAGGTGGAGTTCGCGTTGGCTTCCCCGGGAGGACACCTCCCCCGTGGACGATCCTTCTGCTGGGTCCGAAGATCCCTGATGCCAGATGCTGAATCTCTGATGGCGGCAGGGTTCCGGGGTCCCTTCTGCCCTGTCGCCCCCAACCCCCACCCCCTTCAGGTCCTTCCCTTAACCCCCCTCCCACCCCCACCCCAGGGCCTGGGCTGGTGCTGGCCGCTCCCGCCGCTGGGGCTGCCTGCTTTCCCGGTCACCTGGGTCCCGGAGCTCTGCTCTCTGGCCGCGCTCTCCTCAACAAAAACCTCCCCCCTCCACACCCCTCTCCCCACTCCCACCTCCTTTCCCCTGACAGCGGTGATGTCAGTCTCAGGGGTGGCGTACAAATTCTCGGCCCTGGCGAGGGACGCACAATCCAGGCGAGAGCCACGCCCTCTTCCGATCGCTTCCCTCCCGGGCTCTCTCCCGCCCCCAGAAGAGCAGCTGGTCCCGGGAACGACGGCCCTCCCGCGCCTCGCTCCCCCAGGCAGGAGCTGGGCAAGGCGCGGAGACGGAGACTTTAGAGAGGAGCCCTAAGGTGGGGTCCATTGTTCCGGGGGGCTGGAGCTGTCCCCGGTGCTGGAGGAGAAGACCGGAGGAGAAAAAGAGGGGGTGGGCAGAGGAGAGGGGAGCCCAGCATCTGGGGAGCTGGGGAGTGGGGGGGCCAAGGAAAGGAACTAGGGGAGAGTGTGGAGTGCGAGCAGATGGGCAAGTTGAGAGGTCTTAGTACCGGAGGGGAGAGGGCAGAGGGACCTGGGGGAGAAACGGGGAGGGAGCGGGCGCGGAGGCGGGGGAGGGAAAGGGAGGCGCGTGCCAAGAGGAGCTGTGTCTTTTCCAGAAAAGGGACAACAACAATAAAAAAACCCGAACGCTTTCTGGGATGTTCGGACTCCCCACTCTCTCCTGTGTGTGTACAAGTGCGTGGGCAAGCGCGGGCACGAGGCTCTCGCTTGCAAGCTCCGTGAAGACGCGGACACCGGTGACTTCAGCGCAGCTTCGCGCGGTGTCTAGCACCAAGTCCTGCTCATTCGTGGGAGATGCTAACGAGTATTTCTGACATCCACAGTTCGCGTAAAGCACCTCCCTCGGACCGGAGTAGATTCCTGACTGCTTCCTTGGGAGTAACCACAGCTGTGGAGCTCCCCTTTAGGGCAAAGGAAACCCAATTACTCTCTCTTCCGCTGCTTCCTTTGAGTGGGGCTTGTTAACTGAGTCCTATAGAAAAGGGGTGGGGTGGGGGAAAGTCTATTTGGAAGACACCCCCCCTCCCCGCCCACCTCCGGTTCCCTAAACCTGTGGGTCGCGACCCCTTTGGGGGTCAAACGGCCCTTTCACAGGGGTCGTCCGATTCATAACAGTAGAAATATTACATGAAGTAGCAACGAAAATAATTTTATGACTGGGGGGGTCCCCACAACATGATGAACTAACTGTATGAAAGGGTCAAGGCATGAGGAAGGTTGAGAACCACAGCAGGATATGTTGGGTGGTCGTGGTCGTCCATTCCCTGCCCTGAGGGAACTTGATCCCTAGAAGTGGCTGGCCTTGTTGGCCTCACTTTAAGGCCACCAAATGATCTCAGCGGATCTGCAACTGTGTCTTCTCTAATGCTCAAAGAGGGGTTCCCTGTCATTCCCTCCTGCACCCTAGAAGGGGGCTGACATCTCCACGTGGTGCTGGTTTCTCTGAAATGTGGCCCAACTGGCCATGCCCCAGCTGCCTTGACTGGCAGCTTCCACTTCTGGAAGAGAAGTCAGTCTCAGCCAGCACTCCTCTGGTACTTACCTTGTCCTA